TCCCTCTTTGGTCGGTGTACTATCAAGACTACCTACACCACGAATTTGATTTTTTTCCTTGGCTTCCATTATCTGTCCTAGGAATTGTTATGATGATGAGCCGTTTCTTGATTTTTTTTCTTTCTTTTCAATGCTTGAAACAATTGCTACGTACTTGAAACAATTGCTACGTACTAAGAGCTATGGTGGGACTGCATTGGTTTCTTCCATAAATTTTTTTTGCCTCCATTTGCAATTTTTAAGGCCTATATGTAGGAACATATGATTTTGTTACAAAACCCACATTCTCCAACAATAATTTAGTTCTCAGCATCCCGGGGTTTACAGCTAACCCCACATTCTGGTGCTGTTATTTGGCTTGCCTCTATAACCATGCCACTTTACTTGTATCTCCCACCCAAACAAAGTACACTTTTAGAAGGTCTTGAGGATCTCAACTTCGTTCCAGCAATCGGATAATCTGTCCCTTCTTCCCCAAGACCCAGCTCTACAAACTAAACTAATTAAATCCATAATATTGATGACACACCTTATATTTGAGTTGCATCCAAGAGTAGCAACCTTATTTTCTCCATACTTGACTGTTCTCAAGTGAAAAGTTCTTAGACATGGAAAAATATTTCTTTGCTTTTACACAATTGTATCCAATTGTTTTTTTTTTTTGGCTACTTGTTCCATATGTGTACTAGTTAATTCACCATACAAAACATAAATATTAGAAGCAATTTCTTTTTTCGTTATAATACTCTATGATAAATATTAAAAAGTTAAATACTATTCATGATAAATATTTAAAAAATAGATAAAAGTATGTAAAATTCTATGATAAAAGTATATGAAAGTATATCACTTAACTTTATAAAGTACGTAAAAGTCATTAAGAATTTGTCAACTCTATAAAAATCACTCACTTACAAAAAGTCTTTAAAAGTTAGAATTGGATACACCCCCCCTTAAGCACCAACCGCTCGTTTGCCAATACTAGTTCCTGCAATGTATCCGCCAGACCAAGCGTTCTGCAGCAAAAACAGCCCAAGGAGAACAGTGATGATTTTGAACTAACATATGATTATAAATGGCATGGTAGAACATTTTCAAAGTCTAACATGGGATGGGGAGCTAGACCATTAATCATGAATTTTCTCTCTTTAACTATTACATTATGCCAGTTGCAATTTCGATTATAGAACAAAGAAAAAAATTGCTTAAACCTGTCAAGATTATCAAGGACACGGTCAAAGTCCACTTCGATGATGGACATTAGATGGGAAAATCTCCCCCAATGGTTCTTACGAGTTGAATGTTTGACCATGTAAATCCAAATCTTGAGCAAGGCAATATTTTCAACACCAACAATTTATTTCTTACTGCCAGACTTTGCATGCAGTGACTTTACAAGAAGCCCTCTGAAAATTTAAGTTAATATTCAAACATACTACAGTTATAGTATTAAGAACCTGTTAAATGGTTATAATTTGTCATTTCTTTTATATGAGAGGTCTTTTACCTGAAAATTGAAACCACCAGTTATCCCATCAACGTTCAGTACCTGAAAACAGATATTTACTTTTCAGCACCATAAGTTTTTTTTTTTGGTCGAATTTCAGCACCATAAGTAGGACACCATATGCCTGTATGTGCATGCACGAGTGCAAGTATGGACTGTTTTTTTTTTTTTCCAATGAACAACACAACTTGTGTTACACAAGTATTTTCTATGCATACTACCTCTCCAGCAAAGAATAGATGTGACTGGATTTTGCTTTCCATCATATTCATCGATATCTTCACAAAAGCAAGAAACACAATTACACTTCTAATGAATATGTGTGTGTGTGTGTGTGTGTGTGAGAGAGAGAGAGAGAGAGAGAGAGAGAGAGAGAGAGAGACCTCAGAAAGTGGAACACCACCAGCAGTGACAAATTCATCCTTATATTGACTCTTCACCATGAAAAGAAGCACAAATTTCAATAAGGTGCAAAAGATTTGTCTTAAAGAAAAAACTTGGGGGGGTGCAGAGCAGGTTTACCGAAACCTACCTTTCCTGTAACATAAAAGTTACAATGCTTTAACATATGTGCAAGAGAAATTAATGAGTTCTTTGAAATGGAAGCCCACAAGGTATCACCAAGTAAACCCTACACATGAATATTGAAAGAAAAAAAATATCTATGAGGCTAATTTCTCTTTAACTGTGCAACATATCATGTTTAAGCTTGGAACAAAAATCAAACCTGGCGACCCAATATATATATCCAAAATCTCTTCACAAGGCCAAATTCTGAAGGATATGAATTGGACAGTTTTTGCTTCTGCAGGGGTATAGGCAATAAGCAAGAGAATTGTCAATTCAAGCACAACAAATTGCAAGAGTATAATGTAAGTGGGAAGTACTTAGAATAAAATTAAGCGTATTGTGTCACAGTCCTAACATAAGTGAATATATAAACATGGGCATACGTCTTCAGTTGATAAGATTGTTTCCAAATTTAGAAGTTCGGTCTTAAGGCATTATGTCATTACTGGTTCACACCAACTTCTTCCGAACCTAAGTATTTGTAAGTCCACCTTCTTATGCAAAACCCAGATACAGAGTTGGGTGTGCTCAATTATAAACCCACCTAGCCCCATCGTTACTCATAAAGAAACTAGTTCCACAGCTCCACTTTGACCATGACATTTGATTAAATAGAAATCTACAAGTTCACCAAGGAAGCAATAAGAGTTAAGACCAAGGACTACCGCAAACCGATTTTTGTGTTGGGTGAGGATTGACTTCAGATCTTCTATATGCACATCAGGTGTGAAGTCTACAATAAGAGTCCCTGCATCCAGATGCTACCAAGTTGAGAAAAAACAATATTTCAAAGGTAATGAAAAGACGTGGCCGGAAAAATAAAATAACAAAAGAAGAAATCTCCTTTCCTTTGTATCCTGAACTGGATAAAACACAGGCACCCCAAGCAGATAACCGAAGAATTGCAGGCCCACTGAATCCCCAGTGCGTGACCAACACAGGTCCAACCTACAGTTCCAAATATTTTGGATATGGCACATGAATTATTGAAAATCTAAATGATGGCAACAAATAGAACATGCCTGTGTAAGCTGTGGTATATTCCTTCGGGCATTCTCTATTTTCAGTGTTGCCTTAACTTTAGGGAATGTTATCTGAATGTGATAAAAAAAAAAAGGGTTAAGAACCATACACAAGTTTGTTTCTCTAGAGTACACATGTTTCATAAGCAATATAAGACAATGATGGTTAATAATTTGATACGCAGTAAGCAAAGGATTTTGATCATAATGAAAGAAAATTACCCCTGACAAATCTGCCAGCCGTGGATCCTCAATCTTGAAAGTAAATAAGCTTGGTACTGGATCTACAATTGAATGACCAAGCTGAGATGCAAGACTGTAACCCTGTGACAAGAACAAAGACATTTCAACAAACTCAATCCATCAACATGACAACGCAAAGGAATAAGGACCTATCACAACCTGCTTGCTATTACCACTGGCAATCAAAAGATAATCAGCTTCAACATATTCAGGGGAACTGAAGGTACGCTTTTCAATCCCTAGAAGAAATTTCCCTCCAGCAGTAGGAGATGCAGTTATCACAGCTTTTCCAGTCTGCAGAGAAACTGGTTGAGGAACAAATTTCAGCACAAACAACTTGCAAGTCATAATGTTAGAACTCTGCCACTCAAGCATCCTGATTTGGATGTTAGATAAATATTATAAGACCGAGAAAGGAGTAGAGAGGACTAGTTTTCTATGAAATGACAACATACTTGGTGATTACTGAAAATAACTTCTTGCCAAATAAAAGCCATCTTAGATGTAGCTCTTCAAAAAGAGCCCCATAAGGGTTAATACAAAGGAACAGACTGAAGTGATCAAATAGCAGCATCATTCCATTAGCGGACAAACATACCTCCCAGATGTGTCGATTCAGACATGAGACAATCAATTATCGTAGACGAACTGTTGCTGACAGGAAATACTCTTCCATCGTCCTCAATCTACGGTCAGCAGAGAACAAATTAAACATGCACAATAAAAACACGTTTAAAGAAACTGACATGTAGCTTGGTACCAACCTTCAGCCTAACCCCATGTTCAGAAAACCAGGACATGGTATCAACTGGCCCATGCACATTGAAGAATGCTCCTCTCAATTCTTTATGACCCCTGGGATAATTTTCTGCCAACATCTACGACCAAAATCATCATTCTGAACAAAACCAAAATGTATGCATGCAAGATGTTCTAATTTCAATTTAACCACATGTATTTACTACCTTATTATCAACACAATGCCCATTTGTCACATTGCATCGGCCTCCTCCAGAAATTTTTACCTGCCAATAACGAATGGATGATAAACCAACTTGGCTTAATAATCTCTGATTGTTGCCGTTAAAAAAAAAAAAACTAGGGAAAAGAGACTTACCTTGGATAGAGGCTTTCCTTTCTCAATGACCACTACATTGAGATTAGGAGCCAGAGTTTTAGCTCTAATTGCTCCATAAACCCCAGCTGCTCCGCCCCCAACTACCACCAGTAGCTCTTCACTTGTCTACCCATCAAACAACTCAAACAAATAAGTTCAAAATCTTCTAAAGAACATGAATATAAAAAATTGCGTCTTAGAAACAAAGATAGATGAAAAAATTATTATCATGCTACCTTATTTTGAGCTCTGGGGATGGCAGTTGAAGTAAATTTTCTTTTCTTGAGGGTTGAAATAAGACCGCCATTGTTTTTGGTGGTAGTTGCAGCTTCTGAGCAGACCCTAGAGTGAAGGAGGACGAAGCGCGCCAAGGTGAAGCTCATAGGCGCTCCCTCCTGTCTATTCGATTTACGATGCCATTTGCTTGCACCGTCGCTGCGGATAAAGCAAAAACGGTAAGGTGTGGGATTATGACGTGGCAGGAGTCTTATAGAACGACGTGTCGTTGAACTCCTATCCCTCTATTTTTGGGTCAAACTCCTATCCCTCCCTTTGGTTTTCAATTCTTCCCCCAACGGCTTCAATACATGCAGACAGACGTATATGCGTATATGAGCCGGTTCCTCTGCAACAGTAGCATACAAGCATGGAAGCGATGCATGTCTTTAGCACAAGGCTGCAGCAACATGCGCAAACTCAAAGCCACCCACGCCATCTTCATCACCTATGGCCTCCACCTCAACAACTACGCCATCAGCAAGCTCATCGCCTTCTGCGCGCTATCGAACTCTGGTGACCTCGCGTATGCGTCTCTTCTGTTCAACCAAATCCAGACCCCAAATTCTTACATTTACAATACCCTCATCAGAGCCTACTCTCGCAGTTCTCAGCCTCATTTGGCTGTGCATTATTTCCTTCTCATGTTGAAACAGAGCAGCTTGGGACCCGATAATTATACTTTCAACTTTGTCATCTTGGCTTGCGCAAATTGCTCTTGGCTAGTTTCGGGCAGGCAAATTCACAATTGGGTTGTTAAAAATGGGTTGGTTTTAGTGGATGCTCATGTTCAGACAGCCCTTGTTAGACTTTATGCCGAGTGCAAGGTTTTAGATGATTCCAAGAAGGTGTTTGATGAAATTCCTGAGAGAGATGTTATACAGTGGAATGTTCTTATGAATGGGTATGTTAGGTGTGGTTTGGCTTCTGAGGCTTTGAAGATTTTCCGGGATATGTTGGTAACTGGGTTTGAGCCTGATGACTTCTGTGTGGCTACTGGGCTCTCGGCTTGTGCTCATTTGGGGGCTCTTCGGCAGGGGAATTGGATTCATGAGTATGTTAAAAAGAGGACAGGGTTGAAGGCAGATGTGTTTATCGGGACTGCGCTTGTTGATATGTATGCCAAGTGTGGTTGTATAGATTTGGCTGTGGAAGCCTTTGAGGGAATGCCAAAAAGGAATGTGGTCTCATGGGCAGCTATGATTGGGGGGTTTGCAGCACATGGATATGCAACTAATGCAATTCATAGCTTGGAGAGAATGCAAGTGGATGATGGTCTAAGGCCCGATGGGGTCGTCCTTCTTGCAGTGCTAATGGCTTGTACTCATGCAGGTCTCCTGGAGAAGGGTAAGCTTCTATTAGACAACATGAAAACTCAATATGGGATTGTGCCCAAACATGAGCATTATAGCTGTGTTATAGACTTGCTCTGTAAGGCAGGTCGGTTAAATGAAGCACTTAAGCTTATCAGAAGAATGCCCATGAAGCCACTTGCTTCTGTCTGGGGTGCTTTACTGAGTGGGTGCCGAATCCATAATAATGTAGATCTTGCAGAGCTTGCTGTTAAAGAACTTCTACAGCTAGAAAATGATGTCAGGGGAGAGGAAGTCGGTGCTTATGTTCAGTTATCAAACATTTATTTGGGTGCACGGAGAAGTGAAGATGCAATTAGGATACGGAAGATGATTGGTGAAAGTGGAATCAAGAAGACACCAGGATGCAGTATGATAGAGGTGGATGGGAAGGTTAATGAGTTTGTTTCAGGAGACGTATCACATTCACATCAAGCATGGATATGTGCAATGCTGGACCTAATATCTGCTGACTCAATTCAGGACCCTTTCTAGATTATGTTGAATGGTCTGCATACTTAACAGTTCTGGATCCTCAAGGGTTATGACTTCGCATTGCCCATGGCTGCTCAAATGTTCTTATCAAGCTGGTTTCGCATAGACTTCACCCGCTGCTAGGCAATGTCTGAAGGAAGATGCATGGTTAACATTGTGTTAACTCTGTTAAGATTGATTGGGAAAATCTGCTGTCACCCTGAATGGAGCAGCAAAGGGTACGTAGAATTCTTTCCTATAACCAATCCTATATACCTTATTTCATATTATTAACCCTTTAATCACAAGCATTGAGATGACAAGTATTCCCGGAAGATATTTATAATTTAAAGATTTATCTTTGCAGGATGATGGACTCTCAGTCTTCGATTCCTAAGTGCTATTGGTCACCACCTGCAACAGAGGCTGGTACGATGGTAAATCTGCTTAAATTTCTTTATCCGATCATGGAAACACTACCAGATTTAATAGCACCGTCCCGATTTCCTAATGTATATCAACTCCATGAATTATATGTTATAGTTTTAATGAGATTATAGATGGATTGGTTTCACATGGATTCTACTTACTGATCTCAATTATAAACTTCAACCTCGCTTTAGTAACCATACAATTGGAATATAGTTGGTTGTGCCAAATGAGACTTGTCTTATTTGTTCTCATACATCAAGAATATCAAAAAATGAACAAAGTAATTGCGTATAGCCCTGAAAAATTTAACGAACCAATTTACTGAATAATCATCTGGAAAAGACATTTCCTTTGCTTTTGTGCATGATTTGCTACTTCCTCTCTGTAGCGATGTGAATGATGAGTTATGGTTATTCCACTCTGCTTCCTATCTGTATTTGCAAATTTGAGCAGATTCGGAACTGAATGTATAGAATAAGCGGGCATCTGATGTTTGTAGGTTTTGCAAATTCAGTCCAGTCACAAGTCACTTCCTGCTGGTGAAGGACACAAGACAACCATTGTTAAATCAGCATGGATATACAAATAAACAAGGTATATGTTTTCATTAAAACGTTTTTGGATTTGTATATGTGGGTCTATTGATTACTTAAATATGTTGAGAAATAATATGCATCACATTATCAGTAAATATGGTACAAAATAGTTTCATTACATTTCAAAAAGCTTAGTAGAATCACCGATATATCTAACATGTTTAGAACCATCAAGATGAAGACATGAAAAACCTGTTAAGACCTTGAGAACTACGAACCTTCAGATGAAGAGGGAACCACAACAACATGCATATCATGGTTGTTTGGAGGAAGATGTAAACGAATGGGATACAGTTTCCCATTCAGTGGATTACGAGAACACACAACAATTTCCTCTAGCCCGATCTCTTCCTTCAACTTTTTCTTCAACCCCTCTACCTCGCTACCCTTGAAGGAGAAGGAAAACTCCTCGGCTGAATCCTCGACGTCTCCTTTATCATTAGCCACATGATAGTGGATCATTCTCCCTACACCTTTCATCGGAGAACCATGATTTAATGACTCACTTGACTGCATTCAAGAACAAACAACAAAATCATCCAACTTATCACAAAAAAAACAATCAAATTTGATAGCCACAGAAAAATTAGAATCGTCTTGTCGATCAAAACAAACCTTTTCTTTGGAAGTTCGCGGCGACCTAAGCTCAATCTTGGATGGAGATGTTGGTTCTGTAGGTTCTGCAAGCAGTTCAGGTGGTGGAGGGGGCGGGGGTAGAGCCACTGGTCTACTTTCTGGAGATTCAGGCTGACGTTCTGGAGATTCAGGCCGACGTTCTGGAGATTCAGGTGGTGGAGGGGGCGGGGGTAGAGCCACTGGTCTACGTTCTGGAGATTCAGGCCGATGTTCTGGAGATTCAGGCCGAAACTCTATAACATCTATATCCCACAGAACCCAGTCCTGGGTTGCAGTTCTATGAGGGACATCATGGGTGATAGAGTTTCTCCAAGGCGGCACACCCCCGTTTGCGCGCAAGAATTGGCCGTAGGGAGTCTTAAGCCTGACCTGACATCCTTCTCTTATAGGCTCCCATTCCAGAGAAGAATCCAATCTCTTTGGCAGGGTTTGTTGGACTTTCTTGCCTCTCAATCCTAGCCTGAACGGCATGTTGGAGGCTGTCAAGTACTTGCCATAACAGCTTTTGAAACGTAAAGTGTTTGAATTTTTGACAAACTCCACAGTCCATCTCGCATTCCTCACCGTTCCATCCCGATCTTGGCATACCGACTCATGATCTTCGTCTGCTAATAGATATTTGTCGTGGTGACTTCGTAAGCGTACCACTCTGGCTGTTTTGAACAACTCCATGTTTGTCTGAAAACAATAAGATTGATCAAGTACTATGATTAAGCACAGAACACAGAGAACCGATAGATTGAACAAAATGTATAACGTTAATTGTGAAGAGTTAAGAATGGTGATTAGTTTTTGTCTGAAATTTTGAAATGTAATATGCATACCTTGAACTAAAACGGCAAATGATATGAAGCAAATTGGCGCCTTGCGTGATTTGTTTGTTAATGGCAAGGAATTAGAGGCAAAGGTTGACAAAGGTTGAGGAAATTAAGGAAACTATATATGAGAGGAAGATATATTAAGCCTAAGGGATGGTCTTATCTTATGGTTGAAAACCCAAATCAAAAAAGGTCGTTCAGAAAACAAACGCAAATACTGGATTTGGAGAAGTGGTGGTTGGGCACGTATTAGGCGAAGTGATCCAAGTTCAAATTCCAAATTTATATCTTTTTTTTTTTTTTTTTAAATTTATTTATTTGTGTGTCTCTCTAATAACACCATCACACGTCTAAGTTGACCCAACAATTATTTTACACCTTAAATTACGTGCTTTAATACTTGGAGAAATCTTTGTATGTTCCGGATACATCACTGGTACACATAGGTCATTTAGAAATATTCTATACTCTAGCACTTGATCTAAAAACCCATAAACCATAACATGCATTGCTTTGTTGGGTGATGTGCATTTTTTAAAAGACTTGCAATATATCTCAATTACATCTTATCTAATTTCATGGTACTATTTATTCATTTGTCCAAACGATGGGCGCTTGTTAATTTATTTGTCATTACAAATGCAAAAAAACCAACAAATTGCTAAATAGAAGAAGAAATTGAGTCAGTTGTATAGAAAAAGATGGTCTGACCAAAATACATGTTATCAAGTGACACTAAGATCTTTTCTTTTTCTTTTTTCGATTACAAGTTACATTCAGATCTCGAGATCATAAGCTGGCAAATTCCGACATCAAGCATGCTAATTTTTTTCCTTATCTGAAGGTGAATTATGTTTGGGCGATGTAAGATCAATCTCCGTTGGAGATCCGGGCTCTGTTTGATCATGATCATCATCACCACCAGTACTAGTAGCGTCATGATCACTATTAATATTTGCTTGTTGTCGTTGTCGTTGTCGTTCTTGTTGTTCTTGTTGTTGTTGATCATCCAGACGAATCTCCACAACATCCACATTCCACAAAATCCAATCTTTCGTTGTACTTCTCCAGTTAGGATTGTCGTGCGAGATGGAGTCTTTCCACGGTGGTAAGCTACACCCATTTGCACGCAAGTATTGCCCGTTGGCCGTCTTCATCTTCACCTTGTATCCTTTTGTCACGCTCACAGGCTCCCATTCCACTATTGAATCCAATGTCCTCGGTAGGGTTTGCAATACCTTCTTGCTTTTGATTCCCAGAAGGCATGGCGTGCTTAAGGCCGTTAAGTATTTCCCAAAACAGCTCTTCAATCGTAACGTGTTCGAATTTTGGCTGATCAACTCCACCGTCCACCTTGCGTTCTTCACCGTGCCGTCGCGGTTCTGCCAAACGGAGACCTCATCGTCAGCGGCTAAGAGGTATTTGTTATGGTGGCTTCGGAAGCGTACCACCTTGGCTTGCTTCAGAAACTCCATAACGTATGCATGCACTGATCTGAACACAACAAATTACGTGCCATATTAACATGCATGCATGCGTGATTGAACAAAAAACGTATGACATCAATATTTTCTAATATATCTGTGCTAGCTTGAAATTAAATGCAATTAATTTGTACCTTGAATTAATATGCCTTGCCTTTTGGTGGCGGTCGACCGGAGCTTATGGAAGAACTAGAAATTAAGGTGGATTGATGTGTTTATTAATGGCAAGGGAATGGAGATTAGAGAGGCAGAGGCGGCCTGAAGTTGAGGAAAGTACTTGAGGAAACTATGAGGGAGAGGTATATAATTGAATTTAAAGGGATGGTTATGATTTTATTTACCAAAAGAAAAAAAATGAAATGAAAATTTTAAGAATTTTATACGAGGCCTACGCGTGAAAGTAAGAATAATTTTAAGAATTTTGCACATGTCCCTCACTCATAGATGTCGGCTAATTGGGTAAGAACTAATTAAGACCATATAAATGTGTGGTTCTTAATTCGTAGGGAACTAGTTAAGATTTTTAACTCGTACGGGACTAGCATAAGTTAAATGTGGGGTTTATCCCCTTCGAGTTTGATTGCGAGGTCCACTTCCCAAACAATACTAATACGTTCTCAAAATCAGGAGTGTAATTGATTCAATTTTAAGTAAATTTTATCAGTTAATTTTAATGTTAAATCGCTCTGTTATTGTAATGGCCCTTTGTGATTAGTGACTTTTTTTGACTGAATTATGAATGCAATCCCAGAATCTCTCAACAACCAAAAATCATCAGGTTCACTAACACATAAGAAATTAAAAAAATATATGTGGATTTGATTCGCTCAAAACCAAGAGGGGGTAGTTGATTCAATTCCAATTCCTTACTTCCCCATTCCAAGTAAACATGTCATAATATTGAAGCTATTCTTGATGTGAGTTATGTTGTCACATTAAAAATTAAACATAAATGCATGACCATTTTAATCTTCAATTCATAATTATCATGTTCATTAAATTTGATTTTCAATTATAATTCCAATATTTATCTCACTTATTTTTTTTCAAATTGAATACAAAAACAGAAAACTAGATCTTCAGACTTCTAATTGTTGTGAAACTTATACAGTCTACTTTGTTTGTCATTCTTTTGGCACAAACAAGATACAAAAGAAGAGTTATTTACACTAATATACTTCATATATCCTAACAATTTACACTAAATTTCTCTGCCATGGGAAGGGCAATTTAAAAGATGGGTGATGATTTCTGTCCACAAAACACACACTTGATCTAATTCCAATGTCACATCTAATTAGTTGATTTTGGCATATCATTAGGCCCAAGCCAATTAGCTTAATTAGTAATTAGCTTCTTTAATTGATTGAGGGGCATACAAGTGATTTTCAGCTAACCGTGCAACTGTGTATAAATATATGACTCCGAGATACTCAAAAATCAGTTCAACAAGATCTACATTTGAAGAGAGAAACGTTCAAATTTTACTTGGTCTTCTAATCCCAACTCAGTCTTACCAATCGCAAATCAAACCTGCTTTTTGATGATCAAACCAAACCAATATCTTATATTCATATTTTTCAACAAAATAAACACTCCAATCAATCTGGATTGATGATCATCAAAACCATCGATGAATGTACATTCTACCCTACAATGACGATCAAGGGAGGCACAAGCCAAGCCTGTGCTGCGTGCAAATACCAAAGACGACGGTGCGCTAAGGACTGCCCTCTCTCTCCCCACTTCCCGGCCGATCAGCCCAAGATGTTCCAAAACGCACACCGTTTGTACGGCGTCTCCAACATAATGAAGATCCGAAAGCAAGTTCATCCCGAGCAACAAAACGAGGCAATGAGATCAATCATATACGAATCCAACATGCGTGCCAAATTTCCAGTCACTGGCTGCATGGGCATCATAAACCAATTGAACTTCCAATTACAACAAGCCATCGAGGAGCTTCGTTACGTCAGAACACATCTCTCAATTTGCAAGGACCAATGCCAATATCGAATCCCTCCCTCTCCCCCACATTACTCATCATGTCCTTCCTCGCAATTGCAACTAGGAATGCCTTCCAACAACGACGCCTCCGCCGCTCTGACAATTTATCAGCACCAATATCAGTATGCTTCTGCTGGTGGAGGCGCCGCCGCGATGTCCTTTGTGGCTAATGAGTATCTTGCAAATGGACTTAGTGCGGTTTATATTGACGACAATGATATGGTAAAACCTCTTAGGGTTCAAAATCCTTATTATAGCGATAACAATGTTGATCAACTTATGGCTGTTCAGTCTAATTTGGTTTCGCCACAAGCCTTTCCTATCCACCAAGAAATGGACGTTCCTCACGATTACGATGACATTCCATTTGATACAATTGCTGATGATCGGCAATCATATATTGAATCCAAAGAAGCCTGTGAGTCAAGGTAATTTGTGCTAGCTCCACACATTTAATTGATACTAATTAATTAGATATGTATATACAAATATATCTTCTATATATATTAACTATAGTGTAGTGGTTTGGAGTAATTGTTCCCGAAGAAAGGTCATGGGTTCAGTCTTAGCATCCTTATAGTGATTAACAAACTTAATTAAATTTATTTGCAGTGCTGAATCATCGTTCAAGGGTACCACGCAATCTATTGAGCATGTGTCACAGAATGATCTCAAGAGTGCGGCAGCCTGCTTCAGCCTAACAAGTGTGAAATAGCTAGCAACGGGGACAAGTGAAGTTAATTTCAACACGAGCTCTCCTTAGTTTTCCATTCTTTTTTACTACTTTATTTGTTTTCACATTCTAGTGTTAAAAACCTCATAGATTTGACATATTTGTTTCCACGATTCATTGAATAAGAGAGATTTTTTCATGGCCTGAATTTGATGTGATGTTTTGGATTTGAAAAAAAATTATAAGAATGCCTTAGCATTGCTTATAGGGTTGCCAGTGCCACACCCAGTGGCGGATCCAGGAATTTTCCTTGCAGGGGTCAAAATCTAAAAGGTAAAAAAATTCTATACAAAATAGAACAAAAAAATACGATAATATTATAAGAGATGTCTTTAGAATAAAAATCTATCATCTTTGACGAAACTACATGTAGGCTGCCCTGGGTTGTAACCCAGTGCAACTTTTGTCCCAACTAGTTTTGACAACACATAATTTTAAGATTTCTATATTTTAGCCCACCCTGCCAGCTCTCCCATATGTGTGCGCAAGTTCTTCACTTTTATGGCTGGCTAGTTAAGAAAAGTCATAGTTTTCTAGTTTAGATTATGTTTTCATCACTCAATTAAGTTCAAAAAATTTTAATTTAGTCGTTCTTGGCTTGACCTAATTTTGTTTTTTGGGTTAACAAAATATTATAGCCCACCCCTTTAATTTCTACTTCCCCCTTGGAGTTATTAGCTACTTCATATTTGATGCAAGCCTCATATCTCAATCACATGTGAAGTATGTTTTAGAAATGTGGACAATTAATGTCTATTATTTTATTCTTTGACTTTAGGCTTTGGTTATCTCTTATCATATTAGATTACTACATTTTACCTCATTCGACAAAAGTTTTATTTTGTCTTATATTATGTTAATATGCTGCTTGACACAATCAACATGCTCACCAAACCCTGCCGAATATCCTCATCAACTTGGTGCAGAATTTGCTCCAGATGAAATG